CAGAACTTCCAGTATCGGGATAGGCATCGGGAGCATTTGGGCCAGTACGAGTCCTGGCCCAAATACTCGGTATCGGTGCATCCCTAATATATATCACTAATTCCACTTCAGAAACGTCGTAGTGTTAATTTTCTTTGCAGAAGGTTGCAGGCAACGCTCTGTATTCAAACATAAGTGTACTAATGATTGTCAACAAAAGTCTTAAGTTTGCAATCCTGTATATTTAACAAATAACAGGGACTCCATCAGTGTTGTAGATCATTCCTGTGGTCGGTTCATAAGTTCCTGCAAGGTAGTAAAGATCTTCACTGTCTAGGTACTTTTTTGTCTTTATCATCTGCTCATACTGTGCCAGCTCTACAACCAAGCACTTGTGGGAGACCGTCTGCACATCATTTTCATCGACATGAGATGACCGGTACAGTGCCCTCTGCAACAAAAAAATATTGTAATTTGTTTTTCATCAGTTTTGTTTATGGAGAAAAATTGTTAATGTTTCTATTTTTATTAACAGCTAGAAAATAGTGTACGCATAAAACAGCTGTACAGAAAAAGGACATATTGGTGGATACAGATTTCTTGATCATACAGTAGAGGACACAGGCAAATCGTGGACTACTGTGGGTAATATGCAGGTATCATCAGGTGATGTGACATTGGTCAGAGCTGTGACCTCATATATCCCCTCCAGGAAATCCTCAGTTTTTTGTAAGTGCCCTTAGGTGATGGACATGTTTCTTTCTCTCTCCTGAGAGGTGTTTAGTTTTACCTTACAAGGTCTTCAATCTTCAGTTTCTTCGACTGCACGTGGCCACCTCGACATAGGTGCAGTTTTTGGATCAGTGCCCAAGGGTGGGAGCTTTGAGGGCCTTACCAAGACCCTGCAAGGACAACGTCAGAAGATGAGGGGCCGACCTGTAAATGTTGCTTTCAGCATTGGATCCTGTGTGGGCGCCCACCTTTGGACATTTGTGTGTGTTGGGTTAGCTGCAGAGTGCTATACAGGTCCAGGGCAGTGGCATATCTGCATTAGTGTGACCACGTCCCTGAGGACCCCCTGGAAAAGGCAGTTTGCTCGTCTGAAGCAAGCAAAGCCAAGGTGCGAGCAGGTGTCCCCTCCCTTCTGTCTTCGTGGATGAGTCCCCCCTACACTAGCTTAAACCCCCCCCCGGGCCTTTACATTTTCCAAACATTGCACCTTCACGTGACCCATGCAAAATCTGCCGTGTTTGCAGCCTCCTGAAGCCAGAAAATGTGTCTGCTGTTACAATCCTGTTTGGATCCTCAGCAGCCATATTGGGACTCCCTAGGCTTCCCAAGCATGCTCAGTCCAGGCTGCTGTGGCCATCTTGCTAAGCCCTGTGGGATCTGCTAGTCTGGGCGTGCCCAGTTAAGGATTCTGCAGCTGGTAGCCATCTTGGAAGGGGGCATGGGCTCCAATCACATGCTAAAGCCCCATGTTTTGTGGAATCCATTTCCATTGATGACCAGAGTGCATTTCTGAGGTGCAAGGACCACTGTGACCAATATCGGGACCCTTGGTGTTGGTATTGTGAGTACCCGTTTAGGGCCCCTCAGCATGACAGGCTGAAAACTGAAACAGCCTGAGGGCACACAGACTACTATCTCTGCAGCTCTCCACCTCTAGGTCTATGACCGCTCCACAGCTCTTTTGTAAGCTCTGGTCTCTTCGAGGTTGTGAAACCTGGTACCAACCCCTCCTCTCAATGATGGAGAGTTCCCACTTACACAAGTGGGGGGACCTTTGTTCCCCTTTACGGTTATCTGAGATTGAAAAGTCCAGATCATGTGGGAGCGCAGGGTTCTACTTCAATCTGTTCTCAGTTCCCAAGCGAAATGGGAGCATACAGCCCATCCTGAACCTGAAGTCACTAAGCTAGTTCTGTATGAAATCAGCTTGCTTCATAACTGCCTCCCTCCTGCAGGGAGATTTCTTTGCATCAGTGGACATCAAAGATACTTACTTGCATGTGCCAATTGACCCTTCGCATCAATGCTGTCTGCATCCTGCTTTGGGAAATAGCTTTCAGTTGTGGCTCTACCCTTTGGCGTGTCCACAGCTCCGCTGGTCTTTACCGGGGTGTTGGCGCCAAGCCTTGCCCCTCTCCATTCTCTTGACTTTTGCATTGTGGCTTATATGATTGACCTTCTCCTGATTAGATTTGCAGCTACAGGCTGCTATCTGATTTGGGGTTTTCCTTTGTTTTTTTAGTTATGGGCCTTTGGCAGTTTTTCTGGGTGCCACCCCCCTCGTGGCATTGCTTGTGTACGTCCCAGTCGTCTATAAATTGCCTATACTATATGATCAAAAAAAGCAGGATTTTTCACTTACCAGTAAAATCTGTTTCTTGGAATACAGTACAAGACACAGCACCACCCCGTCTATATCCTCTACTGCCTGGAGTGGGAGGATTATATGATGTTACAGCTCTGGCTAGTGTCCAATCACCTAATGATACCTACATATTACCCAGTCATGTATGAATTGCCTTTTTCCTATACTAAACTCCAAGAAACGGATTCTACTGGTAAGTAAAAAATCCTGCTTGTTGTTTCTAGAACTCAACTACACAATGGCTTACTGGTTCACATTTTTGTTAACCATGGGTCATATGTATTGCCTATGATCTCTTCATTTACAAACTCAAAGCATCCATGGCAAAACCTATGTACTATTAACCATAAACTGTTTCGCTTTGCCAACATAATATGATGACGATTGTGTTCAATAAACAGATTGGATCATAGGCATCTTGCAGTGTGCTTTCTGTTTCATCATAAATGTATAAACCTTATATGTTTGATCAATTCAAAATGTAAACAGACATTTGTGTCCATGAGGTTGTAGGCCGAAAAGAGTATTTCCAATAACATAGCTGGGGGTGCAAGACTAGGTGCATCAATCCATCCTTTCCATATCATTGTACATTTTTAGAGGTTAGCTCTATGTTGGCATGTCAGTTTCTCAAAATGGAATTTGGTATTTACCTTCTCTATCCACCTTTTAAAGTGGGTGGGTTGGCCAAAAGGCAGTGTTGTATTAGTGCTGCCCTAGTAAATTATAAGGTTCAATTAATCCCAGCTCTATCCAAGAATCCTTATCTCGTAATTCTAGAATACTTGTGATTTTTGGTAGCCACGTTTTAGAGCCCTAAAAGCAGGTTCTTTACTGATGTGGATGCTTAGTTCACAGAACAATACTGACTGTTAAGTTCAGAGCAAACTTTTCTTGACGTAAGACATATGAAATAATAAAATATGATAAAGTATTACTATGATTACTGTGTGAGCCCTAGGGTTAAATATAGGGATGTTCAGATACCAGTGCCGATACTTGCCATTTTCATGAGAACTACTATCTATCTATATACAGGTGAAACTCAAAAAATTAGAATATCGTGCAAAAGTTCATTTATTTCACTAATGCAACTTAGCCGTCTACATGCAGGACCTAAAGGAGGCACAACAAGGCAGATGGAGGCAACATTGCTCCACCACCAGAAATCAGATCAACTATGCACTGTAAGTCCTTCTTCTCTCTGCGTTACACCACTGACCTTAGGGTGTGTTTAGGGGCGGAGTTAAGGCCGGGGTTAGGTGAGGCAACTGGTGGCGAGTAACTCTTAAGGCCTGGCTAGTAGCTCAGGACTTGAAATTTTAGGAGGCACAAATCCCAGAAGCTCCGTAGCCAATGCTCCTTACAAATGACAGCTGCCTTCTAACTTTTGAGTTTTTCTCTAGTCTAGGAGCTGGCAAAGTATCTGTACTTGTTATCTGAACATTCCTAGTTAAATACAGTACCAACAGCTACAACTCACCTCCATAAAATCTTTCCTTTGTATGGAAGGCTGCAGACTGGCTGTATTCGCTTTGCCAGTTTGTTGCTCCCAATTCTAGTTTAAGGAAAAAGGAAAAAAAAAATCCTAAAATCCTGTTTTGGTCACATACAATTCAAGACAACAAAATATTTATATATGGGGATCAAATGCCTACGTAAATAACACATTTCAGTTTTATTTAAGATTTCTATTAAAATAAAAAACAGTGTCATCAAAAGTGTGTTTTTAACTAAATATCACAGAGAACAAACCTTTCTATATACAGTTTTGACTAATAAAAATGTATATTTACTTTAATTAGGGCTGTTAGATACAACATGCCAAATTTAAAATGTCAAATCTGAGCAATATAACCCAAGGAAGGGCTGCTTTAGTTCTACTGAAGGCCAATTTTATTTTAAACTTTAAATGTATAATATACTACACTTTTTTTTTTATTTTATTTTACCTATTTTATTTTTTTTTTTATTGGTAATCCCATAATCTGCACATAAATGCTGTCTTATTCCCAGTAGAACACTCTACTCACTGTAGGTAAATATCTATGGTTTCCCTAGAAACTACAGTCTACTTAACTTACCTTGCTATCATTTAGCTTTTTTGCAGGACAAGTCTCCTCTGGATGATAGAACCATTTCACCCTCACAACCATGTTATTTCCCCAGGACTCCCACATGCTTTGAATGCATCCTATGTAGGGTAGATTTGGGCGTCCAGCAGATAAGAACACAGCGCAATCCCCAATGCGAATAATTTCCTTTCCACGGACTATTGCCTTGTAGAATAACTTCCGGGCCTTACCCTTCATTCCTCTCCTCTGTGAAACCATAAATACATACATTCTGGTAAATGCATTAAATTAAAAAAAACAAACTACAAAAAAGTAATAATATCTAACTCTTTGTTTATGACATTCGGGATGATCCTGAAATTCATTACCTATAATATTTAACAATAGAACATCCACCTTTCCCCAGTCTGCCTCTGGAAAGGGTTTCTGTAGTCCTTAACCACCGCACACCCAGTACACTCAGATAATCAAGTGTAATAAACTCAACTTCAATTTTGGATTATACCATTTCATGGTACACAACCACAAATTGCACACAACACACACGGAGACATGGCCCCTTTGTAAGGTGCAACTGACTAAGGACAACTGGATTGGTCGCTGTCAAATCAGGGACTCAAGGCAGACCTTTGAATTAATATAGGTAAGCTCCTAATCTCCCCTCACAGACCCTGCTCTGACTCTTAATATTAACGGCTACTCAGTTTCTCCTGGCATTATCTGTAACAGCTGATAATTAATGACAAACTGTCAATTCATTCCATTGTTCTCCTACTATTCTCTTGCCACCTTTATCCTTCCCATAATCCTATCTGCCACTGTCCAGATTGCACTTTTGTTTCAGCATTTCTAAAGGTAACTGCTCTACACTCTTAGCCATTTATCAAAAGAACACACAAGTATTATTGTAATCTCTAAAACAGCAATCCAAAATAGGTTCAAATATCCTCACTACTAGAAGTCCCACGTTCACCATATTAAAATATGCTAGAAATATTAGATATGTACCTGAATTTTATACTTTTACATCTATTATTCGTTTTTTTAATCTTTTCGCATTATGTGAAACCTAAAATTCTATACTTTTTATGAGGTTTTATGATCAATAACTTCTTAATATATGTGTATTTATTCCACATGTTGGGGAAATTTATCAAAACTGGAGCAGACAGAATCTTATTAATGTGGAAATTGATCCGGTACATTTTTGTTCATAAACGTTTAGATATAGCTTTCTGTGCATTGACCCACCCAACCAACCCTTAATTTGGGTTGGCCATCATGGAGATAAAGTGAAGAGTATCCACTCATGATACTGGAAACAGTGAGTAATGCCAAGAAAAAGCACAGCCTGCGTGTATTTGTGTACAACTTAGCCTGATAGGTATTTGCATGACGTGAAGGTCATACGTTTTAGTGAAACTGGCAACTAGTGTTATTGGCTATATAGTGCTGTATAGTCCCCTGGGGACTAGTGTTTATGGGGACTCATATTAGGGGTTATATAGCGGGGGCTATTATGAGGCGTATAATATGGAAAACCAATGCAGAACACCCAGTTCCGCAGAGAAAGGTCTCCAAAGGGCTGGCAAGTTGGTAGGCCCCAATAAAATGATTAGTAGTTCCATCCTTAAACCTACTTCAATATCTGAAAGCAGTCATGTTGCCACCTAAAGGAATTTAAAGAAAAGACAATACCTGTAAAAGAATGCTATTAATACGTACCTATCCCGTCGCCTATGCTGCCAATCCTTATGGTTTTGAAGAAGGGTTACTGCTGCTGAAGAATCTTCTGCATGCAGCACTTCTGGGAATTTTAGATGCCTTTTTCCCCGCTTTGAGCTTTCTGGTTTCATCTGCCGTCCCCTATTTCATTACTGTTCATGTAGGGGCAAGGCAAAGGAATCTCAGCACTTAGTGGGGGACCAGGTATCTGACACACCCTGAAATGTGTCTGATGCAGAACACTCTTCCGCCAACGGTATCTCTTCACTGCCATGGGCAGCGGGGACAGGTAAGTATATCTGTCATTCCTTCTTTTCCTTTAGGTGGCAACAGGGTCACTTTATTTAAAAGACCGCAGCAGAGAAAAATATAAATTTTTTGTTTGAAAGCAAAAATATATTTTTATGTTTATAACTATATCATGCTAAATATATACCAGAGTTTTTATATAAAATTAACTAAAATGTTTTCATTTAATAGCAGTAATAAGCGGCTGACAACAGCTATTAACCAAAAATCCGGGTGCCCCCCTCCCCCTGCCCTCTCCATGCTTCTCCTCGGATCCCCGCTACTCTCCCCCACCTGTATGGTCTGAGTCAGTGGGGATCCACTGAAGCTGGCAGGGGGGGGGTTCAGGATGACGGCATCTGTGCGTAACTGAGCAGAGGATAGGTAAATATCTGTGCTTACTGATCCGATCCTCTGTGTGCAGAGCAAACACTGGAGTGATTAGTTTGTAAACAACTGGGGACACATAGTACTATGTGTCCCCAGTTCATTCATGACTTTCTCAATGGGGAGAAGCACTCAGTGGGCTTCTACCCATTCAGAAACTGGTTGATTGTACTGAGAGCTTTCCATTGATTTAGAACAGAGACTGCAGAAAAAAAGATTGAGGATTCTGTGCCCTCAATTTATTTTCCCATTTCAAAGAAAAAAATTAAATGAAAATGTGTATTTTTTTACGGTTTAATTTTGATTTGACAAACATTTGCGCAATTATCGCAGGACCTACTAAAAAATAGTAGCACCATATTTTTATTCTACCAGGCCTGTGCTTTCAGAAAATATATGGTTTGGGGGGTCTTTTACAAACGCTAGCAATGCAGCAGTAGAGAATCAAAGCAATGGGAAAAAATGGTGAGGCCAGCTGGAGGTTAAAAGTGTTCCTGAGGGCTTGGCAGCGAAAGGGTTAAAACATCCAATTACCTGAGTGGGCTTTCCAAACCACTTCCAAAGCTGTCTAGCAGGCAGAAAAGCAGCAATTTTTGGCCTGTTCTCTACTGAGGGTAGTCTCTGTCTTTTCGCCAGCTCCTTGGTTGTAGGGAGGTGTATTCCTTCCCTTTTCTTTGGTTTGCATTTACTACTTTTCAATTGCTCCGGCTTTTGTTGCTTAACTTGCACAGGCGTCTTAGAAGTGCTTTCAGATTTCACATATTTGCAGCTCTGCAATTGAGAAGTATCTGGAGGAACAGAAGCAGTCACAGCATCATCTTCTGAGCTGCTGGAGGATGCTTCATCTGTTAAAGATGATGATGAACTGGAACTAGAGGATGAAGATGATGAAGAAGAGGAGGAGGAAGAAGATGACGACGAGGAAGAGGATGAAGAACTGCTGCTGGTAGATGATGACGATTTAGGTGTTGAAGATCTTGAGCTACTAGAGCTATGATGATTTTTGTTCGGTCTTTTGCTTGGCCCATCTTCCTCCTCAGATTCCGAGCTGCTGTTACTGCTCTCCAACTGTTTTTCAGTCTTCTGAGCTCCATTTTTGCTTCCAGATCTAGTTTTTAAGTTGCTGCTTGTATGGTCAAAAGCTTCAGACACTAAAGACTGCTTTGCTGTGCAAGGCTTTGATCCAGAGGACTTTTGTTTCGGTTTGCTGGGACTCACACTAGAATAACATTCACCTATCCCTTTCTTACGATCTCTTTTTGTTGTATTATTAGAATTCTCACGCCTCATCATCGCTTCTTTTGTTTTTTTTGTCTTAGGTGACATAACTCCTTCGTGGTCTAACTTCACAAGTAGTTGAGCTTCGTTTTTACGATAGCTGCTGCCAAATGAAGCAAACTCTCTTTGTTCCTCTAGTTTCTGTTTGCTTTTTGCTTTTACTTTCCCTTTTAAAACATCTTGGTTTAATCCAACTCCAGTTATTTCATGGTACAGCTCCCCACTAACCAAGCTCTTAGACATTGAGCGAGAACAATAGTTTTTGTTCATTTTAATTTTTTGATGCTTTCTAACATTTGGTTCAGTGGGATTCTCTGGTGGTACTTGAGGACATTCTAAATCTACATCTGAATGCATCAGATCTAGCTGCTTTTCTTCCATCTTCTTGGCTGTCCGTGAGGAATCTTTGAATATATTTTCTTGAACGGTTGCGTCTTCTGCAAGAAGAAATACAACAGAAAAAAAGGAATTAAAGAACACAATAATCCACATATGGTCTTAGAAACCATTTATCCAGTTAGTATGATTTCAACTACCAAATTTAAACTAAATTAAAACTGTAGACATGATAAAAAAAAAAATCCGTCTTCTAATGTAAAAACTATCTACACCCTTCGCAACATTTACAATGCAAGAAAGTCCAAGGCAGGGGTATTCAAGTACATACTTTTTGCATCAACTCTCTAGTGAAAATACCGGAATTTTGTTTTGCTGCGGACTACATAGATACGTCATGAGTCATACGTTTTATTATGTAAATCTGCCAAGAACTGCAACATAACATACCTACTTAACCCTTTCATGACCAGACTTTAATGTTTTCTTAAACTTAGTTGCCCAGACCAAGATTTGTAGTGTCCGTATGCGGCAGTTAACTTGACAATATCTCTAGGAGTAATTTTTCAGCTTGACATCAAGTCTGAGGACTAGGAACACACAGTTGTGCATTCCTAGTTAGCTGTTGAAAGGCTAATTAATGTTTTCATGGCAAAGGGCTTTTTTTTCATAATCATAATTTTATTACATTTTTAAATGACTTACATACAAATAAGTATGAAATAAGAGCAAACAGGACAATCATCTGACATTTCTGGGCTTAGCCCGTTAGTGACATGAATTCCAATTACATCCCTCAAAAAAGTGTCCAGCTGTATACCAGAACACCATCAATATCATAGAACAATGTACAAGTTGTAGAAACGCTCAAGGTATACACCCAATTCAAGGAATGATATGGGAAGCTTGGAAGAAAGCAAAATATAACATTGCTTGCAGTAAAAGGTCCCGGCCAGGAGACCCTAGTCAAAAGGGCATTTTTTTATGTGGATGTGATTATGAAGGAGTAAAAGTGCACAAGTGCCAAGACGATGGACATTAAAGGAGAACAATGGGGTTAAGGCTTTTCCCCATAGTTCTCCTTAGGGTAACGGGAGGACACAAACTAGCGTCCTCCCGTCACCCTAGGCTCAGTATACCGCGAGCTGTAGCTCGCGGTATACTGAGACGCCGCAGTATACCGCAAGCTGCTGCTCGCGGTATACTGAGACGCTGAAGCAGATCCCGACAATTGTGCCGGGATCCGCCCAGCTGCCTGACAGCTGGCTCTGCCTATCTAGAGGCAGAGCCAGCTGTACCCGCCCCGTTCGTTCCACCAGTCAGCGCTGGCGGATGGGAGGAGGGAATCCAGCCCCTCCCCTGTCACGGCAGAGAGCCGTGACACGATCGAGAGGTGAGCGAACTCCAGTATGTGTTCGCTCACCTCCCTATCTCCTGAGCCAACCTGCGACAGTCTCATTGTCACAGGTCGGCTAGAACTACGAGGTAGTACGCCCATGTCACATCACATGACACGTTCGCAAAACTCTGGCAAAAGCTGGAAGTATCCGAGGTGCCAGTGCAGGAACAAGAAAGGTAAGGCCCCTTTCACATGGCTGGTCCGATTGAGTCCACCTGTCAGTTTTTCAGGTGGACCCGATTGGATGCCCAATGTAAGTCTATGGGCCCCCGACTCTGGCCAGGTCGGGAAAAACAGACTGAGCAGAAATTTGTTTCACCGGACTAGATTGTGCCAGATCGGGGGTAATTTGATGTAAATGGACATATGTCTGTTTACATCCGATTCCCCATAGACAGACACTGGGTCCAGTAATTGCAGTTTTACTCCATTTCAAGAAATATTGCAGATTATTATTTTGCGTCTATTTTTAAGCAAGCAGGTAGAACTGTAGGCTCTAATATTTTGGTTTTCTATTGATTAAAGAAGCCTGTAGTTTACACAGCTAAGAGACTTAACAATGACTCATACCTAATTAGAGCGTGCAGTCTGAAGCTTCAAATCAGATTGTGTCTAAGGATTCTGTCACACTTGTGCAGTCCAATGCTATGCATTATTAATCGTTATGCTGTGCATTAACTTGCGCTAAGGCACTGCATTGGAACTGCATCATTTGCACTACAATGGACCTGCGCAATCTGTGCTGAGGGAGTGCAACACAATGTACTGCAAAGTGGATGTCCACTGGTCTAGTACGTTGCAGTGCTATTCAAAATGAATGACACCACAATGCAGTATGGTATATGCTGACTCTATGGCTTAATAGAAAATATAATGTATGTAGTAAGCGCATATTTTGAGGTATTGCGACAGTGCTTACATTTTTTAAGATGTTCATGTTTATTCAAGGTTTCTTTTCATGTTTTTGTGTTAAATAAACATTTTGTTAGATTAGGCACTAGAGGGGGATTTTACTTGTTTTGTTACCCTGTCTCCCTGAACAAGCCTTACAGGAGGAAACCTGTTTTCAATGAGTCAGCTAACTCATAGACCTCCATCCATTGTGATAAAGAACCGACAACTGCAACCACTGGGTAGCACTGCAAAGCACAAACATAGAGCCTGGATATATAATGGGTAGATATGGGTGCCCCTATGTATACATTTCAGTACAAATTATACATTGTAGCAGGCCATTTAAAATCATATTGATACAATTATTTAAAGCAACATGATCTGCAGGTTCATCCAAAGAATATTGGGGGGAAAAAATATATTCCCTTTAAAGAAAAACAACACACCTGATATTGATTTGACACTTGGTTTTCGACCCCTGGTTTTTCGCGTTACGGACAATGTTTCACAACCCATGGAGCAGTCTTCTTTTACTTCAGTTTTCTCCTTGCTATTTTTACGCACTTTCCTTTTAGTACTCTGTACCAATAAAGCAGGTGAAGGCTCTGCACCTATGTAATAAAGTAAATAGCATTAGCTATTTAAAATTAAAATAACCCCTAAGAAGAGCTCTGGCCAGCATCAGCTTATCTGACAGAAATGCAGACTGTGTAGCTACTCATGCAAGTCAGGTACGCGGTCCGTGATCCCGTGCCTGACTTGTCAGCTGGCTGCGGGCCACATAGTACTGGTTCGCGGGCCCCAATTGGCCCATGGGCAGGTACTTTGAGACCCCTACTCTAAACACTTACATAAGGAAGACTCAAAAAAAATTCTGTAACCATGGACAGCTTTCCAATTGCTACCCACCCCTTCCGGGTTTGTAACCGGAAGAGGAACAACAATTGCAGCTTATGTACATACATGCAATCAAATATCAGAAAGAAACCCATGTCTTGAAATATGCTACATTACCAATACAGACCCCTAGATGGTTAAGTACATGGATAAGAATAAGCTACCTGGCCAGAGATGATGGCCACTAAAACAGGCCCCAATGATTAAGTACTACCAGCTGCCTGCACGCTTCTTTTGTAAAACTGTGTATAAAAGCTTACTAAATACATCCTAATGAAATCACTACAAGAGACACTAACCTTATTGTAAGCATACAGATAGCCAAGCATATTCTATACTTACACTGTATTTTATAATCTGGAGGTAACAGTCGGATATGAGATAATGGTATCTTCCCTGTATCTCCATCATCAAACTCAACTGTTACCAAGTCTGTATCTTTTTCCTGGTCTGAGTTTCCTAATAAAAACAAAAATGTATTCATAATTTAAGCAACAATCAGTTTTCTCAATATTAAAAAAACGCACTTCAATTCAGGGTCTAAAGTGAAACTTTTCTAGTTCCCAGGCCTTGCAGCCACAAACAGGCGCATGGCGACCTTTGTGTAAGCATCAGGTAGAGTAGGCATTGCTAGAGACTTTTAAACCAGCAGGACAAAGAGTGTAGCAATTGTACTGCCCACTATATATCTGTAGAGTTTGCACATGCTAAAATTGAGTTCTGTGGCACGCAGAGTATTCTTTACCGTTACATGCTGGTTTCGAGAAGTGGCATATAGGATGGGATGGAACTACATCCTAAACATAACCTTGGGCCACAAGTAATTCTGCAACTATACCTCACCCAGACTCTGTATACTCCTTGTGAGCCAATGATGACAAAATCAATGATGGCATTATAAAAAGAAAGAAAAAAGTGGCATAATTCACCCACCACGCACAACAGTGCCTGGGTACAGACAACGGTATTGTTGGCTCCAGTAAGCCGCTATTCTTGTTCCTTCCATTAGAAAATGGACAGAAGGAGGCTTTACATCTATAATCTAGAAAACAAGAATAAAAAAAAACTTTAAACGTATATGCATTTTCATAAAGCACAAAGCAAGCTAAACATTTTTCCAAAAAGACTAAAAAAGATTACCAACTACCAGCACAAAGATGGATGTAAATTTGAAAACAGGAAAAAACAACAACAACTGACACAGCAGACATCTGACTAGAAATGTTGCTTACAGTCGGGATAAACCATAATTATGTACTAAAAAATTAAATGTGTCTATTATTTCAGATAGCAGAAATAAGTGGCTTGGATTCTTAGAGGATTTTTCATCGCCGTGATTTTTTTTTTTTTTTCATGAGAGTCTGCAGCAGCATGCACATTGCACCTGGCATCCACTCATCACGGTTGCAATGCTTTGCAGGCTCCTTGGCAAAAAATTAAAAGATGTCCTTTTTACTTTTTTAACCAATGTGGGTGCACTTATTTTTTTGCAAAAGGTGAAAATAGCCTTTAAAGGAGAACTATGGGGTCAGTGCGTTTCCCCATAGTTCTTCTTAGGGTAACGGGAGGACACAAACTTGCGTCCTCCCATTACCCTAACCTCAGTATACCGCGAGCTACAGCTCGCGGTATACTGAGACGCCGCAGCTGAAGCGGATCCCAACATCGATGTCGAGATCCGCCCAGCTGCGTGAGTGACAGTTGGCTCTGCCTATCTAGAGGCAGAGCCAGCTGTACCCGCCCCCTCCCCCGTCCGTTCCACACCAGTCAGCGCTGGAGGATCGGAGCCGGGAAGGGGGAATCCAGTCCTTCCCCTGTCACGGCAGAGAGCCGTGACAGGATCGAGAGGTGAGCGAACGCCGCTATGTGTTCGCTCACTTCCCGATCTACTGAGCCGACCTGTGACAGTCTCATTGTCACAGGTCGGCTAGAACTATGAGGTGAGTGAAAAGCACTCACCTCATAGTTCTCCTTTAATGACTTTGCCTCCAGAGCAATATTTACATTTTTCACACACATGGTAAAATCTGCATTTTTTGGTAGAAACCTCCCAGAATAAGATTTATTTTCTGAAACCAGAGGCTCTGTAGAATAAATAGATGGTAGTCGCCATTTATTAAATCTACCATTTTAGGAAATGATACACTAAAATTTTGGTGCACACAAACACAATGAAATCCCCCATTTTTTTTACAAAATAAAAGATGGCTTTCTTAGGGAAATAGATACCAAGTATGACAAGCCCCAGTCACACTTGAGCTGACCTTCTTTGGTTGTTTTTTCGTGGGTTTTTTTTTTTTGTGTGTGTTCTGCTACAGGCATTTTTCAGCGAACAAACAGCTTGTTACTCAGCAAGAAAACGCATGCTCCCCTTGAAGTCTATTGGGGCCAAAACACTCGACTCCACCTCAGAAGAAGCCCTCCCTAATTGAAACAGTTGTTTTGCTACAGAAGCTCAGATGTGAACAAGGGTCATTGAAAACACAGGCATTCCTCTTGTTGAGCGTTGTAGTACCTAGGTATTTCTGGCTACAATACACTGAATAAGTATGAATAGGGCCCAATATCCCTTACAGCAACTTAGATTTTTCTCACGCCGATATGTGCAGTGCTACCCAATATGTGTTGTGCAATTGTTTAAATAAACTCGGGCGCCCAATTGTGATTACTGATATCCTTATAATATACAAATCACTCGATAAGCTATCACTCATCCCCGAAAATTAGGTAAATGTAGGTCATTCTAGTTGGCACCATAGTCAATCCTCTCCACTCGATAACATTTCTTAGGGAAATTTTTCTAAGTGAAAACATCAACATTGGCAATGTTGGCTTCTCATTCCACAAATGCCATTCGCTTGGCTGTCATACTAGCCCACAAGTATACAGGTAAGGATTTCTGACTTTCCTGATTTGTATACTAGTTGTAGGCTGGCGACGCAAAATAATGGCCAGGCAGCTAGCATTTTCAGAAGGAGGTCAGAGGAGAAGAGTGGTGTGATATTCCACTCTGAAAATTCTTCAATGTCTGGCTATCGGAGTTTAGTCTTACTGACTCACAGCTTCTTGCAACAGCTGCTCCTGGCAGTAAATATGTGGACGATTTCCTCTCTCACCCTCCACCACCACACGATATCTGGAAAACATCAGTCAGAAAACGATTAGAATACCAAAATATTAACAAGAATTTAGCCTAGTGAGGTCTGCTGACTTACATATCTGGAGAGTGGACAGTTTGTACATGGCCTGCATAAAGCAGCTTGTCATCCAATGGAATCAAAACACGCAGTCCATCTTTCAATTCATCCTTGTCTATGATGCAAGAGCGCGGTGCTGTAAAGATAAAAATAGATTATATGTTGAAAGAAACTTGTACTGAGAGACATATCGGGGCAGGGCCGGATTTAGTCTTTCTGCTGCCCCAAGGCCAGGTTCCTCAATGCGCCCCCCTAATGCAGAAGGGCAACCATACTTTTTTTTATTTTTATCTTACTATCTTTTGCTTTTTTATTGTATTATTTTTTAATTCATAACTTTTTTATTTTAATTATGATTTCTTATTATTTGTATAATTTTTTAAATTTTTAAACATTTCGTAATCTTTATTATTTTTTTTTCACTTCACTTTATTGCTATCACACAGGAGCATTTGGAAGTGAGAGGTTCTCATTATTGAACCTGTCACCTCCAATACAGGAGTTCTGCTCCCGTTCTCCATCCTGAACAAATGTGACATGGCCTCGGGTCCCTCAGAAAAGCAGGGAAACCCAAAAACCACGGCATGAAGGGAGGCGGGCCAGCGGGGACAGAGGCAGCCGGAGGTGGGGGCGGACCTGATCTCTGTGGCATCGCCGTGATCTCTTGTACAAACTGAGAGGCGCCTTCCCCGCTCTACATTTAGCTCTGCTTGCCCAAAGTAGGGCTAAATGTAGAAAAAAAAAACTACCCGCTCTGCGGCTATGCCGACCCTACCACCTCCAGGCCTCGGTGGCATTGTGGGAAATCCGGCCCTGTATGTGGGCAACCATTGCTGACCTGCTGCTTTTGAAAATGATAGTTGCTATGCCATTATGTTAATTATGTCACTTTGCTCTGCTTTCTGAGACATGGACTTGGAACAAGCATGCAGATTAGCTTCCACTGGCTGTATAATTGTTCCAGGTCAATGACTAAGTATTATAGCCAAAGACAGCCAAGCAACTAGCATTTTTAGAAGCAATGCCTATATATTTCTATTGATACACATTTCCTCTGAGAAATGTATGTATATGCATACCTGAAAGAAACCTGTCATGAGGAAAACATGGAGTTTGTTAGGGCATACCATACCATTTTTTGTTTTTATATGATATTTTAGTGTAGACCAAGTACAAATTCTATGCTGGTTATTTCTATGCCGCATACATAGAAGACCAATGAAGCCACAACTTAGCAACACAAGCTCTACCAAGTTCTACATGACCCAAAAGGAAAGCAAATACAGAAGTACAATATGGTTATATACATAATATTTAATGGCATCATGGTGAAATAACAACAATGTAGCAGCTCAATATATCAATAGAGGTTTGCCCAACACAAAAGGTAGAGAGATGTTTTTGAGGTTCTTCTACCTTGTGTGTTGGGTAAAGTTGTATTGATTCATTGGCTTGATATAGGTCATTACAGCTAAAAAGAAGTTCAGACAAGTTCAAGAACCAGGATCTCTTCATATCTGTGCTGCATGATTTAGGAGCAGGAACTGCATATGCTCTTAGCAACAAGACTCCCTGTACACCACAAGGTGACTATGCAGCAGAATAGAGGTTATGTTTTGGGGAAGGCAATGTGTAAATGGATCCTTTTAGAGATCTGGGTGTTGGCGTGGGGAGGCAGGTTAAGTGTTATGGTGCTGCAAATAGTACTAGTATCAGGCTTCTGGCACCAAAAACAAATGAATCGTCAGCATAGTCCTTATTAAAGTTTGCTTGATAATATAAGTGCATTACTGTATATGTTATGTTCAGTAAATGTTATCATTCACTCAACCACGCATCATAGCATTAAAATTCTCGAGTTAGCTCACTCTAAAGGTGTTCATAGATTTTACCATCTGAAAGCAGTCTAAGAGCTTCTGTCTAATAGTTGGTTGTTCTCAACCACCCTTGTTAAATTGTTATTAGGTTTAAAGGGACAGCAATGCTTCCCAGCCGCTTCTAGACAGATTTCTCCCCCTTAACCTAGGACTGGATTCTACTCTTTGGAGTAACGTTACCAATTTTTGAAATATATCTATCTAATGCCTCACCCCATCATAGACTGGATAAAAATCTGACTTCCGTTTGGTGCTTAAACCCACATAACTCCAGACTTGGACTTTGTAATCCCCCCCCCCAGTGTGCCATCTACTTCCATCAAACCCTGCAAATCTGAAATCGCACACAATTCTGAAAAAGATCAACCCACTCGGTTTTACAAAACTCCACTCCTTGCATATACACTGGTTCCTCTAAACTAGGGGTAGCCAAACTGTGGCCCTCTAGTGGCTGTGGCACTACAAGTCCCCTAATGCATTGAAAGACTGACAACCACAGGCATGACTTCTAAAGGCAGATGCATGACGGGATTTGTGGTTTAAGCACAGCTAGAAGGCTGGAGTTTGGCTACTCCAGGTCTAAACTTTCACCTTTCAGATCTTCCTGCACATTTTCATAATCAGCAATCCCAATGCTATTAGAGGCCATGATGATTCCGTGATGTGACTTTTTATACAAAAGTATTGACATCTACTAAAGTTTGAAATAAATGAAAACAATGCATGGGTGAAACGCTAAAGTCCCTTAAAAGTGAATCCAACTCATCCTATGAAAACTGTTTTTGAGAGGTTTACTACGCTGTATAAATCTGTAGTCACTACAATAGTTAAATATATCTTAATTTCTTATGTTTCTGTCGTCCTCTCCCCTTTCACTTTTTTCTTTTTTTTCCAAATAAAGTTTTTTATTAAGTTACAAATATAGAAGACGTCTTCACATACATTTATACAAATACACAAGTGGTTGGGGTAAGTGCCAAGGGTACAAAACTGTAGAATACTTGTGACGGAGACAGGAGAAATAGCGGCAATGTCGCTCAGCTATTGAGACAACGGTAGTACAAACGATGTCCCCCTTCGGGGTATCCAAGCGTGTCAAACTGCTACACCCTGCTTAACAAACTGACAGGACAAGACCTTTCACTTTTTTCTTAAAGGATGCTGATCGTGGTGGCCTGTTCGTCCAACTCTGAATCCAAAAAGAATCTCAGAGGTGTCCGCCAAATTCCTTTTACTCAATACCTCATGTAAACCTTCTGTGGTCTCAGAAGAAAAAAATCTTCTCCACTATCAGAGAAACGAACATCTTTGTCAGGTGAGACAGGAACAGAATTGTTCAATCTAAGAAGTCCAGCACACTTCATACAGCATTCAGACCCAATCATAGAAGGGGGCTATGGTGAAATGGTGGACGGTGCCACCACAACATAAGTCCCAATCCAATACATCATTGGCACACCATGTTCTGATAAGACCCTTTATCGTCACCAACACAAAGCGTAGTTTTGAGGCCACCTAGAACCTCTTCCTCAGGCAGCAGTGACAGTAAATAAACAAACATAGAATTCAAATAGGCAACAATACCCAATCAGTCACTGGTAGAAGCACCCACAATACTAATTCATGCAAATAGAGTGCAATCAGTGCATAAGACAGAAGTGCTGAAACATATGATAGTTGTGATCTCACTTTAGTCAAATTTTTAGCACTTAGGGATTCTGCACTGTGTTCTGTTACGGGAATTTACTAAAACTAGAGCAGACAAAATCTGCAGCAGCTGTTCATGGCAACCAATTAGCGTCTGGCTTTATTTCAAAGTTTAACTGCACAAGCTTAATTGGCTATTATGCACAGTTGCTCCAGATTCTGTTGGCTCCAGTTTTAGTAAGTTCCCCCTATGTGCACTAACGGAGATGGTGGGATGTCTGTGGGCGTTTTTACCACTGACGGATTGTTATTGCTGCATATTTAAAACTCAGCGTTTGTGATCCGATTATGGTCACTGCTGCCTGAGGAAGAGGTCCCTAGTGGCCTCCAAAAACATTGCTTCCTCTTGGCAACAAAGTGTCCTGTCTTCTCATCTGAACATGGTGTGCTGGTGATATCTTAAATTAGGGGTATAATTATCTCGCAAGATGGATTAATTCCTAGGTGTTTGCTTTCTATTGTCTTTCCTCTTGTAATTTCTTCGATTCCAGAGGCACACCTTTGAGTACAGATAATTATAGCAATCATACAGGAATTGTGTGTGTAATTTCTTTCCAAATCATTCATGGCCTCATTCAGTTTTTTACTCAGATCTCTAAAAGTGCCTTTGTGCTTCTCCAATCATCACTGGACATCATGAATCTCTGTGCGTATGTTATCTAAAATGCGTCTCACAATCATTTCTAGTAGCCTAAAGGATGCTTCATTAACCCCTTCATGACTGAGCTTGTTTTTAGTTTCTGTTTGTAAATGACTGACATACTTTTGACATTTTTGCTGTGTGATTCTTCCACGTCAGTAATATACTTTCTTACAAAGTGCACCCACACATATTATATATTGTTTTTTAGAGGACAGATAGGGCTACATATTTATATCACATATGTGTGTCTAACGCCTCACTTAGGACAAATAAAATATTTAAAAAATGCAATAAATACATTCATTTATTTGTCCTTTTTTTTTTTACACTTTACTATTTTTTTAAAACGTAAAAATTTTATTTTAATTATATCAAGCAGTCATTGTGAATTAATCTCACTGTTACTGCTTGATAAATTAATACATTTTTGGTTATTATCCGGCTGCTTCAAACTTCAGAACAGCCGATAATAAGTTAGTGACACTGATCCTGCAGCAGTTCAGGATTCAGCTGTCACTAGTTTTCTGATTGTTACAACAACCATCAGAAAACTGAAACATTCTTCTTTCAGAAATAGATACATTATGTATCTATTCCTGAAAGTGAAAGGAAAAAAAAAAGCCAGTATAGCTTGAGAGAGATGGCTCTAGATCTATACGAGCTGGCAAAATCCCAGCTTTTGCCAGCATGTGTGCCCGCTCTGCTTTGACTCTCAGACACCTGATATTAAGGTATCAGGTGTCTGAAAAAGGTTAACCCTTTCATTAATGGACGCCTCTATACCGAGGCATACATTAATGAATGGTAACCACTGATTCTCAGCGGTTACCAGCCTTCTAGTGCAGCAAATAACTCGTCACGTACAGTGTACGTGACGAGTCATTTGGTCCCTTTGTGACGGGACTTACAGTGTACGTCTCCCGTCACGAAGGGGTTAAATATAGGAGTCCATCCCTTTTTAAACGGTTTCTCTTTTACCTCAAAAAAGGAAAACTTCCTAATGCAACAGAATACAGGCCTTTTTGTCACAGCTTCTTACCAGGAGTAACTGGTCGTTCAGGATGCAAAGGCATAGGAAAATTTTCATTTTCAGAAAAACTGCTGTCCTGACTTGGTTCAAAATCCTCCTCTGCTGCCATGCTCTCCATCAGTTTACTCACAGCTCCACATTTCCCATGAATCTAAAGCAACAAAAACATCCAGAGTCAGTATTAAAGTAGCTAAACATAGTTACAATTTAGTGAAGCTTACCATTTGCTTAGATCCTGTGGCTGCATTCATTAGCTTTTTTCCCCATTTGTTTTCATCTGGTGATCCTGCCAGTAACGCACTTTCTGCTTACTTACCATTCTGTATATATGAAGGAGCAGTGTTGTCACCCAAAGACAGAAGGATGTTAAGGACTAAAGAACACCACCCCCCTTTCCTCATCTCCATAACATGGGAGGGGTGTTTTAGAGTTCACAAAGGTGAATAAGACTGCTTTAGATAATACTGCAGAGTATGCAGAAACTTGCAAGCTCACTTGATTTCTGGCAGAACTGACAGGTATTTTTTGCACATAAACATACACCAAAACACAGTCAAAAGGTATTTTGAACAAACCAAAGAGAGCAAATAAGAGAAGTTCATTGTTGGAATTTACATACACTTTAGACCTCAGCTACAGCAGTGTTTTCCAAACCTGTCCTCCAATACCACTAACAGATCATGTTTTGACGATATTCAAACATGCTACTAAATTACTTTTGCAGAGATTACCAGTTGCTCTGCTTGTGGATAAAACCTGTTACCTTCAAAACAAGCACTGTTGTTGAGAGCTGAAGAGAAAAACTCTGGGCTAGAGGTAGTTGCATATACCTTCAGCAGCTTTCCAAACCTTCTGATGGCCAGATGCTAGGCCGTTCTGACATACAAAGCTCCAACATTTCTAGGTAGAGTCAGAGCTCCTTGCTAAACAACCACCCCAACACATTTAGAGCGTCTCCGCTCTGATCATTACAAGGAGAAACACAGGTGGGCGGGTGAGGGGGCGTGTCTGGCAGAGGGGCGGGAGGGAGCTGCCTCTCCGCTCTGATGCCATCCAGAGAGCAACAGATAGGTTGGCGTGCGGGAGCTGCGGCCGGTCTTCACATGTAAAATCTAGTTGCATGTGCAGCTACCCCGAAGGTAAGACCTAGCGCTATCTTCAGGGATGTCTGTAATATCAGACCTACCCCGAACTAGGTCTTATTTTCGGGGTAGGTCTTATATTACAGAAATCCCCGAAGATAGCACTAGGTCTTATTTTCGGGTTAGGTCTTACTTTCGGGGAAACACGACACGGTATGATGGACAGGTGCACTGGTCAATAGGCATGTGCAATATGTAGGAAAGGGTATGCACGCTTCAGCACTTTAAGGTCTACAACTGCAGTGATTTTTTATGAGCGTATAGGTATGCAAGTTACTGATAATAGTGTTGTTTTAATTATAGCTGATGCTTAACAAACTCTTTAGCAAAATATATTTTTAAAGCCACCACCGGGAGCATTTTTCCAGCTAAACAAAGGCAATCACAACTGGCAAATCTGGGAATAATGGACAAAGATTTGCAGTACCAAATGACAACTGGTCTGCTGGAAATCAGCTGGGTTGGGCAACAATACTCTTCCATATATAGCCAACTTTGGAATATGCAGAGATTTGTACAATTAACACTGCATCTGTTGAGGGCTGGATTTCAAGCACTGGAGACTGTAGGTCCACAGCCTTTAGCGCCCAAAGAAACATGGCTCTGCTAGGAACAACTGTTTTATACAGAACTTTTTTTGTATTACTGGAACTGACCTGGCTTGGTATATTGTTTTGATGTGTAAATTTAGCAGGCCTCTATTTCTACAATGTGGCCAATAACTATACAGGGGAAGACTGCCTCTGGGCACCTAGGCACAAGCCTACTGTGCCGCTGTGTCAGTATGTTGCTTTGTAGACTAAGGGAGCAGGTAATGCGGGAGATTTAGGACTAAAACACCAACAGAACCAGGTACATAATTAAAAGAAATCAACTTTTAGAGTTCACTTTGCTATTAACATTGGTAACAAGTTCCATTTTTACCAATCGGGTAGCAACCCTATTTATCATCATGTGCAAGCAAGCTCTAAAGATTTTATGAGTTTCTAGAATTCTTTGGAGATCAATGGTAAATTTTGCATACAAGTTTATCTAGTTCCTTCCAAATAAACATAAGCACGTTTAGGAAAAACTGCATTTATAGCACTATGGTCAGTAATGTTTCCCTTCACACTCTTACCTCTTCCTTTAAGCTTTTAGACTTTCCCTTCAGTCTGCTCTTTCGGCTGCAGCTCACACTAAGCAAATTGTCAGGCAGAGAGCTACCCACATCAGAGGAAGACAGACTAGATGAAAGAGACTCCTTCACTCTTTTCTTCTAAAGAAACAAAATAATTTTACATTAGCATTTCATTTCCTTACACAAAAGCAAGTACACATTTTTGATGGGTAATAGAAATGTCAGGTCTCGATTTGTGGAAAGGCCGCAGAGGCCAAGTAAAAACATTTCAAGTTGAGAGCAGGTTTTTTTTGTATTGTATATAAAAAGTGATTTCCGTTCTGACCCAGATCTAACAGAATTTTTAAATGTATATATTCAAACATTTTGGTAGGTAATGTTAAAAATGCATGTGCTATTCTGAAGCTTAGCAGGTTCTTTCTTGATCCCTAGAAAAACAACTCCTAGGTCCACCTCTGTCATTCCTTTCCTCGGATTCAAACAAGAAGCTATGAGGCCGATTTATAAATCCTCTGCTCAAACAAACACTGGGTGAACGCCATTCGCATGGCATTGCTGGCACTAGATGGAGCCACGGAGCATAGGAACCTATGCTTTTTATAGCTTGCTCTAATTCTGTGTACACCATGTAATAAAATTAGAAACAATGGCTGAAATATATGTAAAACACACCGCTTGGTTTAAAACACAGTGGCGCAAAATGCAGGTACCTATCTGTAAATGCACAAAAATTGTATGCATTACATAAATGCTTCCAAGTGATCAAAGAAGGTACCATTCTGTGTTGCCAGGGTGAAAAGCTGAACATTACGCAGGGGCAGTGCCTCACTTTTACAAGGAAGCACCAAATCCCCCTTTTCCCTCATCTGCAGAATTGCAATACTTTAAAAGCATGCAGTGACTGCCATTGTTCTTTTGGGTAGTGGTAAAAACTGGTGCCACAAGATAATGCTGACCAATGAAGAACTAGACTAAAGTTACCTATCCTCACATATAAAGCATGGAGGAGTTAGTAGAAATGATGAACAAGGAGACCACCATTCAGAAAGATTGCCTTGTCAGAATGCATTAGAGAAAAACTTCCATGTGAAGCACTGCCCTGTTATAGAGTGTCATGTGAGAGGCTGCTCTGTTACAAAAAACAACCATGTGTGATGCTGCTCAGTAGGTGGTAAAGCTGCAAAAGCATGCCAATCATTAATGTGACACTAAACTCAGGAGTAAAAACCTTACAAATGCAATAAAGTACCCTAGCTATTAACAAAACTGTATCTTATATTTGTGCATCGTTCAGCTGTAGATCCTCAAATCATCTCTGAATTCATGCAATCGCTCTAAGCTCACTCTCATGATGGACTACAATCTCAATACAAACTAGTAAACTATTTTAGTCCATTACAAGATCACATTTGGAGCGGTGACTACTTTACAACACACACAAGGCCCATGAGGAACAATAGTAGCCACGCTCAAGATGGAAGGACAGTGTCGGAAGATCTACAGCTGAGTGATGCACAAATAAGATACATTTTTGTTAATAGGGCACTTGAATGTAATTTTTAAGATTTAACTCCTGAGTTTAGTGTCACTTTAACCACTTGCTGACCGGGGTGTTTACACCCTCTTCCTGTCCAGGCCATTTTTCAGTATTCAGCGCTGCGGTACTTTGGCTGACGTTTATTCCGTTATGCAACGCTGTACTGAAATTAATTTCATACCATTTTGTTGGGACAGATGGAGCTTTCTTTTGGTGGTATTTAATCACCACTGGGGGTTTTTAATTTTTTTACTATATAACAAAAAATACAGAATATTTTTAAAAAAAAATTGTTTTCCCTTTATTATTTTAGGAAACAATTTTTTTTACCCAATTTTTTGGTAAAATATAAAAGTCGGGGTCACGTCGGGGTAAATAGACACCAAACATGTCAAGCCTTAAAATTGCACGCACCTGTGAAATCGCAAAAAAACACCATAGCCAAAAATGACCATTGATGAGCGGTAAAATCATTTAAAGCGTCGCCTGTTTAGTGTTATCAGTGATTAATGGCCCTAGAATTATTGCTCTCATTGCAACGTTCGCGGCGATGTAACACGTGCAGCATAATTGGAGCAATCGTCGTTTTTGCGTGTAGAAGCATCTAACGCAATTTTGCGCATCTATGTGGGGGTGGGGAACTTTTAAAAAAAATTGTTTTTTTTTTTGGGTGTGTAAATTTGTATTTACTTTGTGAGCAGTTTTTTTTTTTTTTACACGTAACTTTATTGTTATCACATAGGGTGCTACAGTCACAGGTCCCCTTTATGGAGACATCAGGGGTCTCTAAGATCCCTAATGTCACCTAGGGACCCCCAGAGAAGCTGATGAAGCACAGATCTGCTTCATCATCTTCTCTCCGGTTTCTGTACCGGAGAGTGACAGAGGAATGTGAAAGTGATGTAATATACATCACTTCCTGCATTCAGAGACCGGGAGGAGAGCGGAGGGAGATCGCGTACTGATCTCCCTCCGTTCTCAGTGCACAGAGCCACATCGCCCGGGGTGGATGGACGCCCGGGATCCCGGGGACGGCGGGACAGCGACCAGAGGTGAGGGGGCGCACCCTCACTTGCATCATACAAGTGATCGGGCGTCTCCAGGGGGCGCACGCAAGCAGACACGAAGAATGTCTAAAGACGCCCACCCGCATCCAGGAGACTTCCGTCCGCCGGACGGGAGGTGGTTAAAGTGCAGTGTGCTTTGTTATGCAGTTATATGGTTGGTAGGAATGTGGCATTACAAAGATGCCAGCAACATAGGTGTAGTCTGTATCATGCTGCTAACCTGCTGCTGGAAGTGTGGCTGATCAAAGATCGCAGACGTGCATGTGAAAGTCTCTCTATTTATAAAGCCATACTGCTAATGAAAGATGTGTGTATGTATGTATGTATGGTGTATAGATAGATAGATAGATAGATAGATAGATAGATAGATATCTATCTATCTATCTATCTATATGTGATTTTCAGACACACACACTTGTTTTTTTTACAGACAAGAAAAACTTAAGATTTCTTATGGTAACATCTCTCTAACATGATGCTGTTAAATTTAAGCGTTTAGACCAGTTGTGTCATTTAAAACAATGAGGAAATAGATAACATTGGTATATGTGTGTGTACTGTAAACCATTTGGTGAGAAACGTACATTTTAAAGGTGGCCATACACTTTACAACCATCGCAAGACCTTAGTCTTGCGATGGTTGTAAAGTAATTTAAAAAAACGTACGATCTGCCCATCTTGGACAGGCAGATCGTACTCTCGATCATCGCAAAGCCGCCCCCCTGAGGGGCGGGCTTCCGATGACCGCAATGCTGAACGGACAGTGTGCGCACACCGGCCCGTTCGGCATTTGTCTCCCTAGCACCGTTCAAACCAGCCGAAAATCGTAAGATTTTCGGCTGGTTTTCTAGCGTGCTCCTTAGACAAAAGACGTGCGACCGTACAGTAGAAACGGTTGCACGTCTTTGTTCACACTGCTTGATTCTTGTACAATCGCGGGATTTCCCTTTTGTGTTGCTGTGCAACATTTGGAGTGGTTTTTTTTGTTTTTTTTTAACCTATACCCTATATTTGAAAAGTTCTGTCCAAGAGAAGATATTAATAGATGCTGGTTATTACTGCTATTAGCCCCAATTAGTCTCTTTATGATTTAGTTTCACTGTGTTAGAGAAGCTTGACTCTCCCTTTTGAATATATTTAAACTGTACTGCCATTTTGCAAAATAATGTCAGTGAAAAGAGACCCCTGTGGTGATCAGAGCACCCCTGCTAGCTTGGTTCTAGCACATAAGGTAAGATAACATAATGCGACATCTTCCCTTTGTGTATTAACAAACCAGCTGGGAGGCGATACTAGGAAGTCACCCCTTGACAGCCAGTTTCTGTAGCCATGTCTGCGTTTTATACCTAGTGGGACTAACACTTTTTTTTTTTTTTTTACAGTTTCAATATGACAAGTCTGGTGTGTTTTCCTTGATCTGCTTTGGATTTCCACTATGTTTTGACATCTGGTCCTTTTGACCCTGAAGTTCGCCAAACCTCTATGTATTTGGCTAACAGTAATAGCCCAGAAGGCTTTGAGGGTTACCATCTGCAAAACGCCCAGCTCAATGCCCATTCTATACTGAGCTGCTTGCTGGGCCAGGTACACTGTGCCCTCTTCTTCTGTTCCTCTGGTCTCCTGGCAGCTGTGGTAGCTCCAATCCTCTGGTCTGAAACCAAGTGAACTGAGACACTGTGCATCCTTATAGGAGTGTAGCGACTTTCTATGTTTGGTAATCCAACTGTCCCCAGCCCAACCCCAAAACAAACATGCTGTCCTGTACTTCACATACTCTGTACTGCATTACACTGTACCCCATTCTGTATGTCACATGCTGTGAACTGCTTTGCATTGTATGTTGTCTTTTACATAACTTACTGTACTGCTTTACACTGTACGCCATCCTGTACTTCCCTGTGTACTGCTTTACACTGCAAGCCATCCTGTATTTAACTTTGTGTTTGGCTTTACGCTGTAAGCAAAACATCATTATCTGCTTCAGGTCAATCCCAGATCCAATAATATAGCACAACATTTAGGTTCACCAGAAAATAGGTTGTTAGAGGTCAGGACTGCAATATTTGCAACACTCTTCTCAGGGATATAAGTTTTTTCCACCCTTATTCTGGCAAATACCACATCAGAGATTAGTTCAACTGTAACAGATTATTTTGTATAGATCATGAATCAAAATTCCACAAAGTTGATATAGCATTTGGCAAACGTTTGCCAAAATTCACGCTGCCACTGGCTCCATTGCATTTCCCTGAAATTTTGCCCAGAAGAAAAAATATAAGTTCCAGCTAAATTAATTGTGTCCTCAGCAAATTTTGCTTTAATTTTTGTCAAAATGCTGAGTCAATAGGAGAGAGAATTTCATAGTAAAGGCAAAATTAATTTTACGCTCATGCCTTATCACAAAGTGCAAGATGGTATCTGAGGGAAACACCTAAGACCTGTTAAAAAGACAAAAAACAAACATTGCAGTGATACCAGATACGCCTTGAAGAGCAAAGAATAGGGCAAAGCTCTAGAGCTAAATAAACCTACAGCCGTCCTTTTCTCAATCACCCAAAAAAAGATATGGTCATAGACTATATTGACAGACACATGAAAGAGTAAGAACATCCCATGGAAATCACTGACTATCTGAACATACTGTATGTGAACAAGCACACATTAGATTTTGTTCATACAGTGCCTACAATTAAAGGTGATATGCTTGAACAAATGACACATAACATTGTCATGGCATATTTATTCTCATAATCTAAATTAAAGAAAAAGAAATTAATCTAGAAGTGGCATACATTTCTGAAGTCTGCTAATTTGTCCAGGTCCAAGCGCATTCAGACCAAAAGATGATCATTTGATGCTAAAATAACACCATCTGTAAAGGTACTTTTTTAAAGATCTCATCAGCATGGCATAACAAAGATAAACCAATTAAACAAAGATATATGCTAGACCAGGGCTCAAAATTTCCACTCGCCCCCTCGCAAATTGCGAGTGAAAATTGCGTGGGGGCGAGTGGAAATAACCCTGTGTGTGTTTGTTTGTGTTATGAAGGGCTAGCAGCTCAGGACCTGAAATTTTGAGCCCTGTCCTAGACTTCTCAGGGCTTGTTCAAACCTTGCATTGTGGTGCTGTTATTTTCAATGACACCCCAAAGCACAAAGAAAACTCTCCTGTGTGGCAGTGCACAGCAAAGTGTGGTAACAACTACTCTGTCACCAACAATTCTACAGGTTAAATGTTTAGTTTGCTGTAGCTCGTAGGAAGTGATGTGAACAAGGTGTCGGGTCTTCATTATCCAGCTGGAAATTCTTCCAACAGACAGACGTCACTCTGGTCCATCACTTTTATCCCTCTTTTCAGTGAGAAGGAAGGACTGGTCTGGATATACAGTGGTTTTCCAAGAAGTGGATAACAAGTTCTTGCCTTGTTTTACTTGAATAGCTACATTTGCTGTCATGTCAAATTGCTGGCATCTAGTGAATTCATAGGCTACATGCCCTTTGAGTCTGGCAGCCTCCAGTTAATATACAGGCTGCATCAACACTGATGACCTGTGACTCTAGTTAATGGACAAGCTCTACATTCACACTGATGAGACTTGATTCTAGAGAATACATAGGCTAAATTCTTAGTGATATATCTGAGCACACCCAGTATTTGCATGCAGTTCTCCTAGTGGTGTTCAACGCACCAGTATTCACATGGGCAGATCTCACACTATACATTGTTCTTGGTGAAATACCATTGCTTGTTCTCCTTTACTGGACTCGGCCTAATTTTTTTCTCTCATCAGGCCGATTGGAACGATGCTACACATCTGCAGTACTTTTTCAAAAGATGAGTTTTCCAACAAACTGAAAGTATTTCTACCAGACATCAGGACATGAAGAGCCATCCTTATTGCTTTACAATTGCAGTTCACAAGTTAAAACAGATTTTGCCATCTTTAACAAGATAAAGCATGGTAAGCTCAGACTTATATATTCTTTTATAGTGCAGTAAGAAAAATTAGCACTAAACAAAAACTTATGTATCACGTGATGATGTATTAAAAACAGGCCTGCCATGTGTACCTTTTCTTTTTGTTCTTTCCCCTTTTTGGAGCTTGTCACTTTGCTATAGCGCATAGCTTTAGGCACAGAACTATTACTTGAATTCACAGCAGAAAGCATAGAGGGACAACTGACAGAACCATGTAGAAATATACGCTCACTTCGGCGGCGGCTCCAAAGGTCATCGTCGCTGACCTCAGCCCGGAGTTCTTGGCTGTGATCTTTTGTGGATTTAAATTTTTTATATTTTCTTGCCTTGTTTATCATTTTTCCTTTTTCAGAAAGGTTAGGACTAGATTTGTCTTCTGATGAAGCTCCAGATACTGTAGAATTGGCTACGCTTGAGTTGGCAAATTTTAATGTAGCTGAGGGCTTTGGGTCAATTTTATCCTCACACTCCGAATCTGTATCTTCAAATTCTGTGCCTGTACAGAGAAATTAAGAAATATGAATCTACATTCACAGGTAGAAATCAATATCTATGATCATAGACTTTTCTTTAGTATCAAACAGCATGCTGCAAAAGAAGAGCATTGAAAAAGACAGTCCTTGTTTATTATTCAGTTTTAGCAAAGTTCTAAGGTATTCCTTAATTTTCACTCAATTTCCCTGGGGTTCCATACATGGAAAGGCTATCAGGCCAGACACTCACCCTGCAGAGGCAATGGCTACCATAAAAGGACCCCTTGAGGGTGAATTAGAGTAGAATTCTCTCCAAGGATTTCCTATGGTGGTTCCAGAATACACAGAGAACCAAAATTTGATCCCTTGGTATCACAAGGGACAAATGGGGAAAAAAGGTACATGGGGGCTCCCTTATAGGAGGAGATCTTAAGCAAGGGATGGAAGGCAAACATTTTAAACTGAAAATAGCAAGAAGAATCCAGACTTGATGTTACTAAGAACTGAGCACTAGCCTAACCTGTTTGCAAAAAGCGGAGACACATCTAGGGTAAAGCCCCATAACAGACCTTGCTGAAAAATCTTCCTATCCTCAATTATTATGAAAATCCAAGGATTTAGAGATGTTCCCGACTCTCCAAAGCCAGTGATCTGTTGGAGTCAACAAAGCAGTAAGGAGCCTTACCAAGCCTGTAAATACAGTTGTCTGGGTCAATCCAAAGAGGATGATTGCCAAAAAAGCACTTGGGAAGCACACAAAGAAGCGTTAGTAAAGGAAAATGACTAGTTCCGAGCATATAGATCTCACAGAGTCACCAGAGCATCTACTGTTACAGTCTGAGGACCTGTTCAGCTTGCAGTTGAACCAGCATATGAAAAGATCCACATCTAATGCCCTCCACCTGCAACACCGGTCTTGGAAAAACACTTGGGTGTATGGATTGCTCCCCTATGTCCAGGTGTAACCAGATGGGGAAGACTGTCCACCAACCTTCCATGCCCTTTCCCATGCTTCTTACGCTGAGGCAGGTACGTGCTCTTGCCTTCAGTGACATCCTTTAAAATAATATCAAGGGTCAGTCCAAAGAGAAGTTGTCCTTTGAAGACCATGTAAGTCAGATGCTACTAGGATGCAGGGTTTGCAGACCAACACTTAAACCAGAGGGCTCTGCTCATATATATTGACAAAAGACAAATACTGGAGACAAGCTAAGAGGCTTCCAGCAGGCCATCAGAGCTGAGGCGTAGAGCTCTAGCCATCTGCTCCACATGCACTTTTAGTGAAGGATCCACTGCCACAGTGGAGAGATCTCTTTAACCACTTCAAGACCAGGTGTTTAGACCCCCTTCCTGGCCAGGCCATTTTTCAGTGTTCAGGGCTGCAGTATTTTGACTGACGTTTATTCCGTCATGCAACGCTGTACTGAAATGATTTTTATACCATTTTTGGGGGACAGATAGAGCTTTCTTTTGGTGTTATTTAATCACCACTGCGGTTTTTATTTTTTTACTATAATTAGGACAAATTACAGAAAATTTTGAAAAAAAAAAAGGTTTTTTTTTTACATTATGTTAGGAAACATTATTAACCAGTTTTTTGGTAAAAATATAAAAGATCGGGTCACGTCGGGTAAATAGACACCAAACATGTCAAGCTTTAAAATTGCGCGCACCCGCGAAATCGCAGAAAACTACCGTACCCAAAATTGGCCATAGGCGACACTTTAACCACTTGCCGTCCGCCCGCAGTAAAAAAAACGGACGGACGGCACTGCAGCATTTGCGGGTTGCAGTCTCCAGACGGCAATTTTTTTTCTGCTCGCGCGCGCCCCCTAGCGGGCACGCACGGGCAGAAAAGACCCGACCATTGCACACACCCGGTAACGGGTGTTTCACATATAGGCGATTAGCGGCTCCATAGCCCGCCGATCGTCTATATGTGCTCGTTCGCGTCCCCAGCGGATCCCCTCACCTTGAATCCCGGGATCGGCTGCCCCGTCTGCGGCCCGGGATTGGCTCGGAGGGCGTCAGGAGGAGGAGGACGGGAGATCAGCTCCTTGCTGATCTCCGTCCGGGCTGTGAATGCAGAAGTGATGTGTATTACATCACTTCCGCATTCACCTGTCAGTCATCTGGCTGCTATAGCCAGAGAGAAGAAGCTGATGAAGCAGATCTCTGCTTCATCAGCTTCTTTTGGGGTCCACAGGTGAT